CTGATGACTTTGGTGCAAATGGTCCATAGGCCACACTTGACAAGCTCTGCTCTCTCATTAGTTCCGCTGGTACTTATATATCCCGATTATCTGTCATCTAAATAAACCCATAGAGCTTCACTATCTACCCCTTCCACCATTTTGACTCCTGAATAGAGGTACAGTAAACCCTCAATTTTGCGGATGTAGATTTAATGAACTCCAGATTTAGCAGACAAAATTTCCAGTCCATATTTCATATGTGAACAATAACACCCTGTTAATTTTCAAATGCTTTTAACCAAGATTTGCTTATAATTAAATTAACAGGTTTTTTGTTTTGTTTTGCATTCACTGTTATTTTTAATAAATTTTAGTGAATGGGCCATATGTTGGGAAAAAAACACTGTAGTAATTTCACTGACGTAAATAAATATCACATATCTACAAGTATAGTCTACATATTTAAAGCCAAGAGTCACTGTTCATAAACAGTGTTTGGGGAATGCTGATCACACTGCATTGTGTGGTAATTGGTTTCTGCAGCCATTGTAATGCCTGCCTGCCATGTTCCCACGTGCGCTAAGCCACGCCCCAGCCTTGTGGACTGGTGAATGCATGCATTTACCAGACCTATTCAGTATAAATTTCAAGTCACAGTTTCAAGTCACAGTAATACATATAGAAGACTTTTCTGTGAAATTAAACTTTTCATACATACTCAATTTTAATCACACAAATAAAAACAGGTAAACTAATTTGTCAATTTTTTAACAAATGCATTTGGAAAACCTACTTTATTATAAAATGGATTTTCGGCTTTAAAAGACACCCCCTCACCTGAATTAGTCCATTATATCGAGGTTTTACTGTGTCAACATTTTAAACAAACTCCAAGGCATCTTCCCAATTAAATTTGTAAAAATAAAGATAATATGTATACAGCATTTTGAGTAATTAGAAGAAGAGTATCTCAGTTCATCAGGGAAATATTATCATAATATAATCTAGCATCATGAAAATTACATTAGATATGTTGGATTCGGTTTGAGACTTTAAATGCAAAGGAAATAAAACCCACATGCAATGCCTGCGTGGACAGCCTGCATGAGCACTTGCCCTGGCTGGGTTCTCTTGTTTGTGTAGGCAGGCTTTCCCCTTCACCGGGGCTGGCCTAGAGAAGAGGGTTGCTTTAGACACTGAGGTGCTAGGTGCTCTTTTGAGAATGAAGCTCCATATTAGTAAACTTAATGGCTGATGTTTACATATTTTAAAAAATCTCAACTGGTACATGTGTGCCTGCACCTAACTATATGTATGCATTTTTTTAAATTATGAACTTAAGCAACTTTGCAGGAAAAAGAACTGAATGGGTGCCTTTATATAACTATCCTAAAGGATTTCTCATCCTTGTGGAATATTTACACATATATTAAAAAGTATATCTATTCAGTTCCACATATTACTTTTTACTTGTAATTTATTTTGTATGCACATGTCCGGGTCAACCTAATTCATATTTTTTGTTATTTTAAATGGTAAAATCATATTTCATCTATTTTATTCTATTATTTACTTAGTGTTCTGCCAGGGTTGGCTGTTTTAGTTATTTTCAAAGATTTGCTACCATATACAGAGTTCTTATGCTCATTTCTGCTCAAATTATGTTTTTGTTTGTATGAATTCCATTGTGCATGTTCTCCAAAGTGAAAGAATTAGAAGGAAGAGTAATGACAGTTTTATAGTTCTTATTGCATATTATAGTATTGCTTTCTGGAGACACTGAACCCATATACAACCCACAGGCGTGTGGGCCATGCTGCTTTTCCCACAGCCTGACCAATCTGTAATTTCATCATTCCAGCCTATTTTGCTAGTTTAATGTGAGCATAGGGCCTCTCCAGAAATATTTTATTTTGAAGTTCTTTAAGTGATGCGAAGCAATTCTTTTCCATGGGGGATAATGAACTGTTTTCATTTTAAGGACAAACAATTCACCTCCTATTGACAGTTTTAAAGGGACCGGCGTAACAACCTTTTGTAGAATTGATTCTGTAGAAATAGGACCCTTAGGTGCTGGCCAGGCTCCACCTGTTAGGGAGGAGCAATTGTATAGACCTGAATTAGAAAACGTAGGTGAAGGGCTGCCGCAGAAGTGCCAGCTCACTCTGTTTAAGGAAGATTGGAGAGCAGGAACATTATAATTTCATGATGAAAAAGCACTGGGGCTTTGGCATAGGATAACAGATTTCACTTCAAAATGAATGCAGAAACCTATCCCTCCTGCCATTCTATGATATCCTCACACAATGCCACTTCCTTTCCTGAACATTTCAAGGAGACCCCCTGGCCTATGACAGGGAGGACTTTAGAATGGCCAGGACACTCACCTGGGCTATTTGAGAGGTCTTGGGGGGAGGACCTGGAGACAAGTCGCAGGAGCAGTCAGTCCCGTCTGTGGAAAGTCGACTCGGATATAAAATAGTGCCTTTGCCCGTTGTCTCACATTCTGTGACTGTGGTCATCTTCTGTGTAAGCAAATAAATGCTTGCCATGCTGGTGTGGGTTTCTGTGGTGCCAAACACTAGATACAATGTTATTTATGTAAGATGGGCCTTTTGTTTTGGACAGTGGTCTAATCTGTTGATCTTTTTAGAAATTGGTGACTGTCCAACTTGTAATGAAAGTCAACCTCTTGAGCACTTGGGATCAAAATCTGTCCTTTTCCTCCATTCCCAGCTGTCATGCTAAATTGGGCATTTCTTGCTTTCACTCTTGTCTCCATAGAATGCTTACACACACAGACACATTTATGTCTCTATCTTTATCAATCTGTGCCTACCTATCTATCTGCTTTATTTGGAAATAATTCACACACCACACAATTCACCCATTTAACATGTATAATTCAGTGGATTTTATTATATTCACAGAGTTGGCATCCATAACCACAGTCAATTTTAGAACATTCTATACTCCCCCCCCAAAGAAACCTCAGTTCCGTTAGAAGTCAATCTCTATTTGCCTCCAACCCACCCAGCCCTAGGCAACTAGGGCTTATTCTGGACATTTCATATAAAGAATCATATAATATGTGATCTTTTGGTTTAGCTTCTTTCACTTCGCATAATTTTTTCAGGGTTCATCCGTGTTGTCGTATATATCAGGTTTTCCCCCCTTTTTTTATTGCTGAATAATACTTCATTGTCTGATAGACCACATTTTGTTTGTCCATTCATAAGATGATGGGTTGTTTCCACTTTGGGCTACTATGAATGAATAATAAAACATGTATATGTTTCCGTGTGGAAGAATGTTGTCAGGTTTCTTGGATATATGCCTAGGAGTGCTGAGATGTAGGAGAACTGTTTAACTTTCTGAGCAACTGCCCAACTGGTTTCCAAAGCAGCTTCCCCATTTTACATCCTCACCCACATGTATGAGGGCTTCAGTTTCTCCATATCCTCCCCAACACTTGTTCTTGCCCATCCCTTTTGTCATAGCCATCCTAGTGGTTGTGAAGTGGCATCTCCTTGTGGTTTTGAATTGCACGTCCTGATGGCTAATAGAATACTTACTCCTTATCTTAGTGTTCTTCTTATTCTTTTATAAAAATAATTGATATGCTTCAAGAAATTAAAAAGGGCAAGGAATACGAGCGGCTATAACTTCCTCTTGGGTTTCACACATCATCCCATTAGAATGGAAGGGACCTCCACTGCCATGAGTGTGCTCCAGCCATTTCCTTCCTTCTTGTATCCGTTCATCATTCAGAGCATGGGGAAGCAGAGACCATTGTCCTGTGTTGGGTAATGTGCCCACCCCTTGGGTTTGTAGTTATGACTAGGACTAGACAATGTACACCAGGAGTGTGCAAATCCTGAAAGGAAATTGGAGTGCTTTTGAGGTGGGAGACTGGGTGCCACGGGTGGGACCAGAACACGTTTCCTGCTTCTCTGGATGAACTGCATGGCCAAGGTTGGGAGCCACAGAGACCTTGTCGGAAACCTCACTAATGATGTCAGAAACCTGTGCTATGCCCTACCACATGTCATAGTGAAGAAGACATACTAAGCTTTATTCATAATATTTCAAAATGATACAATTTTAAATGTACATATTCCTATTTGAAACACAGCATTTTCAAATACATGATCTCATCGATCCTCAATAGTCTGTTAGTTTCTAGTTATAGTCTATGGTGGCCTCGTGGTTTAAGTACATGCTTGTGAACGAGCCTCAGAATCCAACCACCACCAACTGATTTCCTGAGAACATGTGTTCTGAGCTCCAAACAAATGACGAACCAATGCTCAAATGTCAACCTGCCCCTAAGCCAGCATCTCACTGCTCGGCAGGCTCATGCCAGCAGGTTGCGTGGACAATAGAGAACAATTCTCAGGTGCTCCATCCGGCCACCAGGGATGCTGACCGAGTGCTCGGCAATGTCAGGATGGGTGACTGGAAGGATCTTGCACTAGGAGCAGTGTGGAAAATAGGCAGGCCTTGGAATTTTAGCTACCACCTCAGGTGCCTCGGGAGGTAGCAATGTTCATATCACAGTTCTCTAGCGTTTTCTGCTACAACAGAAGGTGACCAGAAGGGTTTCACTGCTATAAAGGAGAATGACTGGATCAAAACGACAGCTGGGGGTTTAAAGGACTCTGGTCAGAGACAGATGTCCTCACAGGGAGTCGATGCCTCTGAATGGCCTGGGAAGCAGCCGCGTGCCCTGGACCCTTTCCTCGGGCTTCAAGCTCATCTTCCTCCTCCTGCTGTCATCCTTCCAGTCCTGGGCAGAAGCCACGATGGTGGGCATCCTGGCCTCTGTGAACTTCTCAAGGGTATATATTGTCACACAGAAGTCCACCCACGGGCCACTGTGGACATTGTAGTCAGTCCTGCCGGTTGCCCTGCCAACGCAGAAATTTTATAGCATGCCATCAAAGATTGTATCTATAACTGTGATGATTTAAAAAAAAATAATCACTTCATTTTAGATTTTTCTATTTTAACCCAAGGTATTCTTCAGCGGAAATAAGGAAACAGTTTACTCTCCCACCAAACCTTGGCCAGTACCATCGACAAAGCATAAGCACCTCCGCTGGCTTCCCTTCTCTTCAACTAGTAAGTATGAGCTACAGCTTTGCTTAGAGAACAGTCTCGCTCAGAAGCGCCCAGCGAAGGCTTTCTGCCTCTCTCCTTAGGCCTCCCCACTGCTACCTTCCACTTCCAGCCACCAGTGCCTGGCCTGGCCCTAATTTTTAACATCTGACAATTTCCCTCTCTCCCTCCCTCAAGTAGGGCTTAGGGTGCAAAATGGGTTGTGGTTCTGACATCCCTGGACTCAGTGGCCTTCCGGGCTATGTGATTTCACCCACATTATAATTCATATTGTAGGGAGGCAGAGGATTAGCCTTGGAAGCTTGCTGTCGTTCGTTACATGCTTTTATTGGGGGAAAATGTATTCCAAAACCTGAAAAGCCAAGTTACAAACCTTAGTTTTTAAAAATTGTTTTCTTGGAAGTGTAATTTACATACAATAGAATCCACTCATTTTTAATGTACAGCTTGATGGATTTGGCCAATTTATTGTTATTTAACCTCTACTCAATCAAGAGTCCCCATCATGGCCCCTTTTCGGTCTGTCTCCTCCCCCAGACCTCAGTCCTAGCCCTTAGGCCATCACTGATCCACTTCTGTCTTCATAATGTTGCTTTATCTGGAACTTCATATCATTGGAATCAATTCAAACCCCCATTTTAAACACACACACTCTCCCTACATATGGTGCCTGGTGGGTACTGGAAATCTCAGGGGGGACACTTTGAAAAAGTATATGATTGTCCAACCACTATGCTATACACCTGAAACCAATGCAACATAAATTGAAAGTTAACTGTAATTGGAAAACAAAACACCTAAAAAATATATTTTTTAAAAAACCAAACACTCCCCCTTCTAAGTTGAAGGTTGCCTGCATGTTTCACACCAGTGGTTGAGCGTGCCTATGTGTGTTCTCTTATTTGAGGACTAAATGGCAGACGTGTGCTAAGTAGGATGCATCTGACTTAAGTGAGATGGTTTGTCAAACCCGAAGGAGCCTTCACTTCCTCTGTGAGAGCGGCAGCCTCCCCTGGCCTCACTTCCTCAGGCGCGTTGCGGCGCAGCGCACTGCACTTCTTTGCTTCTGGTGGTTAGCCTGCGGAGGTTAGGTTTATTTTTTGTTTCTCACTTATTACTTCAAAACCACTTCTGCTCTTAGAAATTTTGTAACCTTCCACTCAGTTTCCTGTGGCTGCCATCTTGTCTCCTGTAACAATTTACACGCGACTCACTGTGTGTCCTTAAAGGTATGTTTACTGGAGTGATTGGTGGTTATTTCAGAGGGGTAACTTGTGTGTTGTGTCACTGATGAAATAGTCCTACTGAAAAATAGACTGCAAAAGGTCATTTGTGAGGACATGTCTTCCAAAAAAACTACTTAGGACTTGGGTGTCTTGCGAGACTGCTGTTTTTATTTGTACTTTTCCTATCTGTTTCAAAATTGCGGATTATAAAAAAAGCACATCGGGTGCATAATGGTCATGCTTTCAGATATATCAGGTGAACTGTGAACCAAGACAAATTAATTTGGTGCTAATATATATTATTTATTGAAAACCCCTGAAAATTATTATGCAATTTCTGATTAAAATCTTACTCCAAAATATTAAACATTTGGTTAAAAAGTGACTGGATACACTTTTCTATCTTAAACTAGGTGCGGAGGTGGGGTTGGGTGCTTTGCTTCTTTGTAAATTAAGACCTCAGTGCTCTGCAGCCGGCTGTCTTGAGAAAGTGTGGACATCACTGCGAAGAGGCTTTGAGGAAGTTTAGCCAGCAGGCTTTAACCCCTTCTCTGCAGGCCAGCTTTGACTCACATTTCTTCAGGAGAAGTCGTTTATAAATATAAAGTCTCAAAGGAAACAATTGCTTCATGACTGCAGGTGCTTTTTGGTTTTATGGAAGTAAATGATGATGAATTACTTCATTAGCTGGGCAGCCGAGCTAACACGTGGCTTAACGATCCATTTTCTAAGAGAAGATACCGAAGAAGTAGCACACATCTTTAACTATACAGGAATCATGTGTGCCTCAATTTATTCCTTTTTCCGTTTGCAAATGAATAGCCTTTAAATTACACTAGTCCGGGTTACTCCAGTTTAGTTTTCTAATGATCTTTTCCCAGATCTCTGCTCCTGCTTCTGCTTCTGCACAGTCTGTTACCCCTGCGCCTCCTATTAACTGACAGCAAAGCAGGAGGTATGAGGGAGCCACCGGCCCCAATTTGATATCCATTAAAAAAATAAAAAGCATGGCCTGCTTAGGAAATCACCCTGACGTTTACCTGCGTGTCCCGTTGTAATGTCAGAATGAGTGACTGTTCTTCCCCTGGAGTCATCTTCCCAAGTGAAGGTTCCTCCAACAGAAGCCAGCATACACGGTGATTTCCCTCTCCCTTCAAGAATGATTTCATTTCACGGCAAGATCCTGGGACAGTTCAGCAAGATTCATGTCTGGGGAGGTAGAGAGGTAGTTTGTCATCTACAGACTCTCAACCGGAAGTAGCTTTAACAAGCTGCTCCTAAGCGAGAAGCCATAGACTGTCCATTGTATAATTTTAGACAATTGAAAAGTAAGAATGAGTGCATTTTGACCTTTGTTTCTCTTACCTTTGTTTATATAAACCACCATTTCAACAACTCCGCGTGCCAAAACAAATGGTTGTTTAAGTTTTTAAAGTATTTAACTGGACAAGGTTATTTAAAACTCAATCAATTATTAGTTTGCTGTTTTGCAAGAGGAAATAACTTGGAGTCGCATGGATCTGGGGTGAAGTAGAACTGTCATGTAATTGGTATATAATTTGAGGTAAGTGAACCTCTGTGAAGGCTTCAGTTTCCTCATTTGCAATATTGGCATAATAATGCTACCCCATTAGGGTTAACATAAATGACATAATAGATGCTGTGTAAATAGTGGCTATTACTGTCAATGTGTTTGGCACTGTGGAGACACTAGGAGATTAAAAGAAGAAGATCAATAGGAGATTGTTTTGCCTCTAAAGGGCCTTATGATCTATTTGAGATAATATAGTAAATCCATACTGGCTTTGAATGTGGTAGGTGCTCAGAAGAGAGACAAATCCATGACATAATAGGGAGGTAAAGGCTTGATGGGGAAGGTAAGGAGACTTAGAGGAAGGTTCTCAGCCCTGGTTGCCCATCAGAATCCCAGGGACCTTTAGAAACACCTGTGGCCAGGCCCACCATAGAATGAGTAAATAAAAATCCCAAGGGATGGGCCTAGGTATTTTAAAGTTTCCTGGGACTTTAACATGTGGTCTAGTTTAAAGAACTACATAGTGGGAGTATTCCAAACAGGAGGAAGAACATAAAGAAAGTGAAGTTTCTTTTGTTGTCCTAGTTCTGAGTTTCAGAGAGTATGGTCAGCAAGAACCACATACTATCCCTATGGATATATCCTTATATAAAGATAGTCGGTTGAGTGTCATCCCTTGCAATGAGGGTTTGCTGTTCAATTCTCTGTCGGAGCACATGCCTGGCTTTATCCCTGCTGGGAGTTGGGAGGTAGGAGTCAGCTGATTGATGTTTCGCTCCAGCATCAAAGTTTCTCTCTTTCCCTCTCGCTTTCTCTCTGAGGATCAATGAAAAAAAAATCTAGAAAGAAAAAAAAGATAGTGGCTTCTGTCATAAATCTGATAAGTCAAGTGAGAGGAAGGGTGTGTTTGATTTCTTTTTCTGTTTAGTCAGGTTTGTGTTTTTTAAACTCTAATTGTCGGTGTTAGCTGTGATAATTTTGAATACAAGAATTTCAAAGTCAATAAAATATTTTTAAAAATTTTATATTTGAATATGAAGAGGAACCACCATTTGGAGTTGGTTTCTTAGACATGATGATAGAGTTGTTCTGGGCCTAACCGACACTCCTGTCAGAGTCCTTTGTGCCACTTAGTGTAGCATCGCTCATTGGCCGTGGCATTCTGCATTGCCACAGCCATGTGAACAGGTTGGCCAGACACTCTCTGATGTCAACAACTCTATATTTGATGTATTTATTAAATTGAAACTGTAAAATACCAAAATTATTTTTTAGTTATTCAAAGTAGAAAGGGGAGTAAAATATACAAGAGAGGAAAGGGTTGGATCTATGCCCTAAGGTATAAAGAAGGATGAGAGACACTATCATGGTGTTAATGATCTTCACCTACATTTTTATAGAGAGAAAATCCTATTTTTAAAAAATGAGAATAGAAAATTTTGAAGTGAGATGGAATGAACCAGCTGAACCATAATGTCCTTGGGTGAAGAAAAGTATGTAAAAAGCCACATCCTGGATATGTACCAAACACCATGGTTACATGACATGATTGTACGCAGGGGTGGGCAAAAGTTGGCGTAAAGTTGTTCATATAAAAAAAGACATGCAGGTTATTATTGCAGTAGCTTTATTAACTCTGTTTCTAATACAACTATAAACCTACTTTTGCCAACACCTGTATAACACTTATATAGGGAAAAAAGTCTCATACCTGAAAAAGCATTCATTTTTATTATGTGTTTAAGCTTCTGAACAATAAAGCAACCTTTTTCTTTTACTACTAAGGCTGAACGCTTGATAAATATGGCCCTTTATTATTTTTCTTGTGCCATTGCTCATGTGTGCTTCATTTTTCAAGCAGTTGGGCTGTTCTTAGGTTTCATTGATTTCACGGAGGGGACATGATAGAAAATGAAGATCTCAGTATGGTGTGTAGTGTTCATGCAAATTCACATGGAAGATAGAATGAAAGAGTGAGGCCCTGCATGCAGAGCAAGAGTTTCATTACTGTCACTGTTTAAAGTAGGGGAATCAAATCCGCCTTGGTAAAAATAGATGGCTGCCTACGATGGCATGTCAGCACCTTCCACTTGGTGGCATCAGGGGAAGATTGTCATTGGTGGAAGCAGGGAAGTAGTTAGTTTAAGACGTTGTACTTTGAAATTACTGAAGCCAAAAGAACCTGTCTTCAGATCTATTTACTTAAATATGGTAGAGAGCTGAAAGGATTGTCTTAAGCATTC